CAGCTCGGAGTAGATACCGCATGGTAGCGCGACCAGTTCTCGCTTCCCGCGGTCGTGACTCGCACTACACCGGTGACAACGAAGTTGAACGCCATCGGCGAGGGCGGGACCAAGCGCCGGTCGCTCTCGCTCGAGAGCCGCAAGACGAACGCCATCGAGTCCGCGTGGAGCATCGCTTCACAACTGCTAGTATCACTTTGGCCTCAGCTATAGTCGTCTGCCAGGAGGCTTTGCTGTCTGACGGCTCACACTTGGCGGGCGTCCTTGCACTGCGATTTTCACCGTAGATGAGGTGGATCAACGCCATGGCATTCATGTAGTATCACTTGTATGTATGGCGTACATTTATAATACATTTGCTTTCAATGCAGCATATTCCTGTGCTACTGGAACTATGGTCCATCTATGCGCGAAGGCGTACAACATCCTGAATACATTATTGTGTGCGATTACTGTGCAGGCTGTCTAGGTACCTATTCAGTCCTGAGAAATTTAGCTTATAACCACTCTCGAACACTACATCGTGCCCACAATATCCCGCAAAGCCCTCGCGATGCCAGTCTGGCGGAAGCCAACACAACCGCGACCGCCGAGACGGCGTCAAAGAGAATATCCAGTCATCCTCGATGTAGTATATAGGCCAGGTGCGGCGCGGAAGCCATGGGAGCGGGGTCGTCACCTGCGCGTCGGCATCTACAGGGGCCCACAACTGGACAAGTCGTTTACCGTCATCGACTAGGACTCCAGAGCCGTCGGGGGACAGGTGCAGGGTGCGGTACCAGGTATGTAGGTCGAGGTCGAGGAGACACGCGCCGGATTCGATGTCCCAGAGTCGCATGGTTTTGTCCAGCGAGGAGGAAATGATGACGTCCCCACCGGGAGCAAAAGCGACCGACGACACCGTGCTGGTGTGCCCCTCCAGCTCCCGGAGCGGTTCTCCTCCCTCTACATTCCACACCAGAACGAGATGATCATAGCCTCCGGATGCAACACGTTCTCCACTAGGAGAGAAGGCGACGGAGAAAACCGGGTCCCGATGGCCCCTACACGTCGCCAGAGATTCTCCGGTGGCAGCATCCCAAATGACGACAGTCGTATCGTCGGAGCCCGTTGCAATACGTCTGCCGTCCAGCGAGAAGGCGACGGAGCGGACACGATCCGTATGTCCGACAAATTTGCGAATGGGCTTGCCTGTTGCAATGTCCCAGAGACAAGCGGAATGATCATCTCCGGCTGCGGATAAATTCGGTACGAGCAGGTAGCGACTGTCTTGTGAGAACATCAGCGACGACGACAGGCCGCCGAAGCAGTGAGGGATGTAGCCCAAGACGGCGCTCCACAGAAAGGTGTGCTCGAAAGAGGAGAACCAATACGCAACGCTCAGCTCGCCCTCAAGCTGGAGACGCGGCGTCCCGGAAGCAGTGTCCCAGAGAGCCACCACGCCATGATATCCCGCTAATCCGGGAAATATAGTTGATGCGGTAAGGATTGTTGCATCGTCTGGTGAGAACGCTACGTAGTGCTCGTGTTTCGAGGGTACGGCCAGGGGCTTGTATGCGCGGCCCCACGAATCAGTCTTCGCCACCTCGATACTGGTACTGGTACTGTCGTTGTAAACCAGCAGCGCACGCGTCGTGCTGTGAGAGAAAGCGACTGAGGAGTAGCTGGTTGATTTCTCGCTGGATGGGTTGCTGGTGTTCTCGAGTCGTGGCTTGATCGCCGCAGGTTGCGTCACGTCCCACAGCCGGACAGTGCCATCGAACGAGCCAGACGCGATGCGAGTCCCGTCGTGGTTATAAGCGACACTCGTGACACGTTCGGTGTGATTGGAGAACGCCTGTCGAACCTCGCCGCGAGCAAAGTCCCAGACGAGGACAGTTTTATCTGTGGCACAGGCGAGCACGTCTCCTGTTGAAGGAAAGCTGGGACCGCAGGTCCGCTGGAACGATCGGCCTGATGGCCGGAGGTCACGGAGGTGCTTTGCGGTCTCGGCATCCCAGACTGACAGCTTCCCCGACTTCGAGCCAAAGATGTACGATGCGATCAAAATTTGGGAGCTGTCTGGCGTGAAGGCAACAGCATCAAAAGAGAAGGATTCGCCTTTGGGGGTTTCCACGACACGATGAGTGTATGCCGGCGCCTCCAGGCTCCACAGAATGACTTGGTCCAACGAGCTCGACGCCATCCAACGGCCATCCCGAGACACCGCAATGGATGTGACATCGCTATCGTGCGCGGTCAGGGTCACCAAACAGGCACCCGTTCCTGCGTCCCATATCTTGATAGACAGATCGTTGGAGCCAGATACGATGAGGCTGCCATCGGGTGTGAAGACTGCGCAGTTCACGTCGTCCGTGTGCCCTTCCAGGGTGCGGATGAGCACACCGGACACTGCGTCCCAAATCTTGACTGTTCTGTCGGAAGCAGCAGAAGCTATGCGAGCGCCGTCTGGAGAGTATTTGACAGAGAAAACGCTGTTGGAATGACTGGAGAGGACCAATAGCGGGGCGCACGTCAGCGCATCCCAAATCCGTATCCCGCCGTCCAATCCTGATGAGGCAATCGTCCTGCCGTCGAGTGAGAAGTCGACCGCCGTGACTGAATCGCCCCCATGCACAGTGACTGTGCTCAAGCAGGCGTTCCACATGCCTGGGACATCACCAAAGACCTTGACAGAGATCTCGGAGAAACACTTGTGCGCATATGTCTGTGCAAGTGCGGTCTTCGTCGGGATGAGTGATAGGAGTGAACAGTACAGCTGTAGCGCTGAGCCGCTGATCGCAGGAAAGTAGCCGACAACCAGGCGTTCGCAGTCATTCAACAGAATGACAATGTCCCTCGCTCGGTCATCGTCAACACCCTGTCCAGGAACTTAGATGTATGAGCTATACTCGAGAGCAAGGCGCACTCACCCTCAGCTTCCGCTGGACCTCGTTGATGCCTGAGATGGCATCCCTTAACAGTCCGAGAAGGCTGCAGGCCTCAACCCAATGCAGCAGCTGCCTTTGTACGAACTCAAGAAGCATGTCCAGGATCTCGTCCAACAGCTCGCCGTTCGACAGATGAGTGCACCAG